CTCTTATCTGCCTCTTACACTGGCTTTTTTGCTGTTCTCTGCCTCTCCTGGCAGGTGACCTCCAGGTCAGTCTGTTCAGGTGGTTAAGGCCTTTTGCCCAATACACACAGCATAGGGTGATCCACTGTTTACCTTCTGAAATGCCAGAATAGAGGCATTACAAGGTGCAATTCAAAATCTAATCCCATCTGTTGAGCTGGAGTGGCTTTTATGAGTTGATGAAACAACTCTTCTGTATTGAAACTGTAAGTGCTCTCTGTGGGCCACTGTCTTTACTGTGACTCACACACACTTGGCATCCTCTCCAGAGAAGCTGACCAACATTTCCATCTTCTTCCCCACTGAGAAGTTCTGTACTCTTAGGCTGTGAATTTATTTGCTCCAGAACAGTGACCTGAGTTGCAGCTGGTCCAAAGGGAAAGAGATGTCTTGCAATTTGCCAGTTCCACGGTCCTCTTCTGAGCACAGGAGAGCCCTGTTTAGTGGATTGAGGCACTGATCTTGCATTTTTGTGATTAATATGCTTTATGCTTTTGTTTGCATCTCTCAGAGTGGCGTTATTTATTTTTGTTGTTCATCTGCTTTGGAAATGAGAAAAAGGTTATTTTGAGTGCAGTATCAACTTGGCATCATTAAAAAAAAGTGTCTCTTCTTGCCAGTTTTTTTCCTGGTTCCCCTAGGAATGCATTCCTGTTGGGCTGCTTCTGCCACTGTGTGTGTTGTGCTGTGTCTCCAGAGCAGCATACTCTGCATGTGTGATGCTGGCATGTCTGAGGAGGGATTGATTCCCCCAGGCATGTGAGTCCTGCCAACTCCTCAGTTAGAAAACGTAAGGTTTTAATATACATTGTGCTTTTAGTCCCAGTTTGGCCCCTTCTTTTGGAAGGCATTTTTTCGGAGCAAGGAATGATATACTGCATTTTGTTGTGGTCTGTTTTGTTTGGTTGGTTTTTTTTTAATTAAAAAAAGAGTTTATGGTTATGTTCAAGTAGTTAATCAAACAGCCTGCACCTCATTCAGACCTCTCCCCTTAGTTCCCTTCTCACTGTTTCTTACCATGCCTGCTTCAATAATCTGAGCTGCATGGGAATTACTGAGATGGGATCCAAAGCTAGAATCTGAATCTGATCTCCTGACATGCCCATTAAAATCTCACTACAAAATGATTATTCCAGGGTATCCAAGTGGCTGCATGCTTGGTTTAAATCCCTTGGAGGGCTGTTGGTCCTCCTGGCTGATTGTGTTACTTCAGCTGCCTTTATGATCCACATGTCCTGGGCCTTACCCTTCTGAAAGAGGACTGTCTGTGGCCCAAGGACAAGATCCTGTTCTGTAGCTCTGAAGTGATGAGCTTTTCAACAGAAAAAAAGAAAACATTCTTCAGCTTCCTCTTGGAAATGTCTGAATCATTTTGGTTAAAGCCTTAAGTGGGACAGATACTTTGCTTGAAGGGCAGAGCTGGCAGAAAGACTGCAGCCTAACAGTTAATTTGGCAGAGTGATTCAGAATGGAAAATATGCAACGTTGCTGTGTACCTGTGCCCTCTCAGTCCCATCAACAGAACGCATTCCCATCAGCTTTTCCAGTGGCTGTTAGTCTGCAGATGCTTCTCTTCACTCCTCACTTTTCAAGTTGAACTTTATAAATTTTCAGTAAATACTGGGCTCTCTCTCTCTGAAAGTCAGTCCTCTTAAATCTGCTTCTTCCCTAGGGTGACAGTCTTAAAAATGTATTGTTTGCCTTTTTTTTTTTTTTCTGAGTTCAGAAAACAGTGATTTAAAGTAAATTATCTCTTAGAAGACACTTAGCCAATTCACAGTCTGTGCCCATTTAAGTGGTAGGGGGCAGGATGGAAAAACAGGAGAGTATAAATTGTGCTGTTGTGAATTATTGTGCCATAGGCAAGGGTTTCTTTAGTTTTCCCTCCATCTTAACATTTAGTCAGAGGACATGTAACTAAGGAAGAAGTTGCAGTGTGGGAAGGGATGTTCTGATTTCCATGGCAGTAAGACAGAAGGTTTTTTATATATATACAAACACTTCACTATCACTTCCCTGATATTACCTGTGATATTTTGAAGGCTGTTGGAGGGAAGGTACATCAAGGGAGGCCTAGACTGTGTCACTGCTGATTCTTGCTCTGTACTCTTGTAGCCTTGACTGGGTCCATGTTCAGAAATCAGAAACCTGTCAAAAGTCAATATATCTACACTGAATATCCAAATTATTAGTAGTGTTCTACATGCAGATTAGCTTTTTTTTGTGCTTATTTAACTGAATCTTGGAAGTAGCCTTCTAAAAATATTATCCATAAATGAACACAGGATGAGTGCTGTGCTAGGCACACTTAAAATGCTCTCGTGTCTTTGAAATCTAAAATTCTTTATTTTGAACTGAAGAAAATAGAAAGAAAAAGTCAGAATCCCTAAGGGGAAAGTACTGCATGTTCAGATCTCTTGTCATGGCCTATTTGATTTATAAATATAAAAAAACCTGTTTGTGTTCTAGAGCTGGGGCTGGTCCAGCGTTCTCTGTTGTTCTCCCACAGTGTGACAATCATCCAGAAAGCTTCCATGAGGATACGGTGGGATTTTGGGTGCATTATGGTATAAATGTATCTCTGGCTATAAACTGTCAATCTCCATTTTTGGGTGAGCCTTAAAGGAAGATTCAGGCACAAGGAAACAGACTTGTTTGGTGACAGTTCAGCATCGCTTCACTTGCCATGTATGATCACCCTCTCAAGAACTGCATCCTGCTGCGATGACAGTTTGCTGGAAGCTCTCCACAGATTCATTGGAAGTTGGCTGAGCCCCAACTCCACAAATTACTGGTCAGAAGAGACTGTTTGTAGGGCACAAATCTATCCAATTTGTAGTGTTGATTTGATTCTTTTTTTAATTAACACTTTAAAAAGTGTGTCAGCAGAGTGCCAAAAAGACAAGAAATGATCAGCTAAAACATTTTATTGCAGCATATGATGCTGTTTTATATTATCATAGGAACATGGCACTTAGATATGGCAATATTTTTTTTCTGTTACTTTTGTTCATTTTATGGTCAGCAGCAATTTGAAATAGTCTTCAGAACAAATGCTGGGGTTTTGCCCTTTTTTCTTTTTACTTTTTCTCCTCAATTCTTATCTTCTTTCTCTGAATTTCCATTCAGTCCAGTATCTTGCTGAATTTAAAGCTAATAAGTTGAGATTTTTTTCCCTCTTTTTAATTTTTTTCACTGTAAGAGTGCTTTCTGTCTGGTGTTTCTGGCTTAAAGAGGTGATTGGCAGCTATTATGTAAAGAAGTACACTAGTCTGTAGTCCTCTGGAGATCCAGCAAGTACTGTCAGGATTAATAAAATCTGGCTGGATGATTTTTTGATGAAATCATCTTTCTCCTTCTTTTTTGCTTTGAAGCATAATTTTTTCCTTTTTTTTTTTTAAACTGCTGTTTCCTCAGTGCTCTGTGTGAGACCTGTAACTCCTCCATCCAGTCCTCCAGTGTAGGACTATGAGGGTAGCGAACGTCAGGGTGAAAGATCAGAGCTCGTGTTGACAGCAGTTTAAATGCACCCTTGCTTATGTTTCCTGCTGTAATGTTTCCCACAGAGTTGCCAGTTTATAGCTTCAGATTTTGGAAATACTCTGTGCAGGGAGGCTGTGCCAGGTGCTGGAGCCACCACTACAAAGCCGTGTCAGTGCCGTGTAAGGACTTGGTGCTGCTCCCAGCCCAGCGTGGAGCAGCCGGGGCGAATTCCCACTCAAAGCTCTCGCTCTGCCCTGCCCTTCCCAGGTGACCTCTGTTGGCTGGATGCCCACCCAGCCACTCTGGCACTCCTCCCCTCAACAGGACAGCAGAAAATAGACTGAAAAACCTCCTGGGTTGAGATAAAGACAGGGACATCGCTTACCAGTTCCCATCAGTCATGGACAAAACAGACTCAACTCAGGGAAAATTAATTTGTTGCCAATTAAAATACATTGGGATGGTGAAGAACAAAGATAAAACATAAACGCCTTTTCCCCCATACCTATTTTTTTTTTCCTTTTTGCAAGCTCAGCTTCATTCCTTTATTCCCAACTTCTCTACGTCTTCCTGCCCCCTGAGCGGGGCTGTGGTCGGTCCATGACAGGCCCTCTCTGCTGCTCCTTCCCCCTCACACAGCGTCTCCAGCGTGGGCTCTCCCCGGGTGCAGTTCCCTCAGGAGACCTGCTCCACATGGGCTCCTCTCACCGGCCGCGTTCCCTCAGGAAATGTCCCCCTGCTCCTCCAGGGGTCTGCCCTGTGATGGCTGCAGGGGAAGACGCCTCAGCCTCCCCCTGCTCAGCCCCAGCTGCTCTCAGGGACATTTCTCACACTTTCCCCCTCACTCCGTGCAGGTTTTGCCCTTCCCTGAGGTGCCCCGGCCTGGCTGAGGGCTTGGCTGGGCCCGCCTCACAGAGCCCTGGCAGCCCCCAGCGCCTGGGCACAAGCACCCAAAACCCCCCAAAATAAACATTTCTACATAGGTGTTCCAGCACTTCTACATTTATGTGATTCTTTACAAGCAGGAGAAGGAGACTGTGACCAAAAAAAGCCCTTTTGACCTTCGTCATCCCACAGCTGCACCACAAGGTCAGTCAAACAAGTGGGGAGGCAAATGGATTTTGGTTTTTTTTTCTGCATACAATCTACTTGGTTTTTAGGAGCTCTTAACGATCTCTGTTCAGGAGAATTATCTAATGTCAGAGTGCAGCAGTGGCTCACTCTGATTTGTGAAATCCCTCAGAATTTCCACTGTGATTCTGTGAGTCACACTAACGTGGCTCCTTCAGCTGTGACTCGTGTGCCCCATTTCCAGACTCCGTCACAGCTTCTCTCTCATGGTCCTGGGGTTGTCAGAGGCCAAGCTGGGGGTTCTATTCGAGCACAGGGCACGGAGTACGTCGACTCTCGTGTTCTGTGAGCTGCTGGTGCAGGGGGGTCACTGGTGGAAGGCTGTGGCTGCACAGACGTGCCCCCACAGGGGCTGGCAGGTGCCCTGTGTGCCCTCAGACATCACGGCACTGCTGCTGACCCACAGCCTGAGCGCCTTGTGCTCCTGCTGACCTCTCAGAAAACCTGACTGGTTTAGTTTTAACCCCTGTTGAATGCTGGGTTTTGGTTACGGGGCTGAGATTTTTAGTGGAAACTTTCCAGAGAATTGCTTCCTCTGCTCTGAGGACGAGAAAAGGTTTGAAGATATGGAGGCTGCACACACTAAACACCCACTTAGTAGAAGGACAAAATGTGAAACATTTAGCAGGGATGTGTTTGGGTAACTTTGATGGCTGTACCCTGTTATTGGAAAGTATCCAGGAAGTGACAAGGAGGAATAATCATCTGTCAGTGTCAGGAAAAGTGACTAGGTCAAAAGCACTGTGAAAAATGAAGTTTCCAGAGCAGACATACTAAAGCTTCAGCCTAGTTCACAGTTTCTTCTCTTCCTATCCTGAAGCACTCCATCATAATTGCCTTTGCTCGTACTATACCTGTCAAGAGATGACACTGTTATGCATTAAACTTGGTAGGTGTGACAGCAGTGTGTTTTGCCCTGCCAGAACAGAGGTGGCTTGTGTCCATCTTTTAGTACTCGCCCAGGTCTACTACTTTTTTTTTTCCTAATCTAGAAATAACACCAAACAGTAACACATAGTGTGTAAACTAAATAGACTGTCCTTCCTGGGCCCCTTTAAAAATACTGGAGAGCTGCTTTTAATGCCTCTGTTTATTTTGGTACAGTATCCAGACTGCTGGAAGTATGTTTATAGCATAGTCTAACGAGCTGAGGCTCCTCTCTAAGATTTCAGTGCCTGGATAGAAAAAGCTGATGCTCTCTAAATATGTATGCAAGACTCTGGCTTGCAGTAATAGTTCATGCCATGAGAAACTGCCTATTTAATGCCACCTGAGCTAAGTTTGAGCAGCAATTGTTCCTCAGCATATGACACAGTGATCCTCGTTACTGCAGCTTCATTTGCCTCTGCAGTAGTCAGACTTAGCAACACCTGTGTTGTGAACAGCACCAATTACATTAGGTCATCTGTATTTAAGCTTGATGACTTCATGGGAAGCCATTTTAATTTGCTCTCTACCTGTGGAGCATGAATTCCAGGTCAACTTTGAAATCCGATTAATGATTTAGATGCAAGAAAGGCAAGTATATGAAAATATTGTTCTTTATATTGAACTGAAGTTATAATTCTGCTGTGAGTGCCTGGAGCACATTTAAGTGAGGTATAAGCTGCTCTTTACTGTGCTAAGGCTGACTGGAGAAGAGAATTGATCTGGAATATAGAATAGCTTTTCTGTCAGTGTTTTGGCCAGCCCTGCTTAGTAGGGGCAGTAGTTAAATCTTTCTGAACTTCAACAGAATTTAGGCATTTAAATGATTTACAGATTTTTAAAAACATTGTTATCATACCATGACAGCATTTTAATGAACTACTTTTTTAAATTGCAACTGGAACTAATATCTGCTGGAGTAGTAGCTCCTTCAGTACATAGCACAGTTGTTGCCAGGAATATATTGAATATTTGAAGCCCAAATTGGATGTAGTGAGTGAGTCTAGTTGGCTCATTCAATAACTTGTTAGCAAAGCATAAAAATTCTACTGGAGCAAACTCATCTTATGCTTTCGAAGAACATTCCTGTTCTTTATTAACAGATTGAAGATTGCTTAAGCAGTCTGGGGGTTTTGGGAGGGAATGTCCTTGTGTGTGCCTGCTACCTGGCTCTGATAGCCCACTGTGGGGTTGGGGTTTCCCAGTGCCCAGCTGTGCAAAGTGCTTGTGTTCCTCCCCACGCTCCTTCCTTCCCCTTTTCCGTGTGGGAATAGCTGAGGGAGCAGCAGCTCCCCGGGGGCACAGCCCTGGCTGGCACCTGCAGCACCTGCTGAAAGGCAGGAGGATGGTGTTGCTCAGGGATGACTCACAGGCACCTGAAACCTGCTCTGTCAGCAGCAGAAATTGCAGCTTCCTGAGGCAGCCAAACGTGATCCGTGTGTTCCACCTCAGGCTGCTGCCCGTCCCTGAGCACCTGGCAGGGCACGAGGCTGTCGTCTCACTCTGGGCTGCACTGGACTGCCCCTGCTATTCACCTGAGCAGGTTTTGCTTCAGCAGGTGAGGCCCAAATGAATGTTTTTTTGGGGAAAAGTGACTGTGAGCCACTGGTATTTAATCTGTGTAATTTATTTCATCAATGAGCTAACAGTGCTGTTCCTCACAGCAGTTGTTTTTGCTGGCTTGTAGGACAAACCTGCACAGGAGGGAGGAGGAGCGAGAGGTAACGTGAATCTGAGTGCTTTGGTCACTGTTCTGGGCTTTCATTTGGCACTGGCAATTTCAGAAGGGTGCTCAGGGGGTTGGCAGGGAGAGACCTTCCTTTGAAGTCCTTGGGCAGCAAGAGCACAAGCCTGTCCTGCTGCATCCTGTTTTGTTTCTGGGGTGAAATGTGATCCAGAGTGACCAGAGACAGGTGGACTCTGTCAGAGGTCCAAAAGAAGAGGCTAATAAAAAATCAGATCCTAGGCTTAAGTGTTTTTTACACATGTGCCAAGCTATATAAAAAACCTGTCCTGCATTAGCTATTTTAACAGACGTTAGAAAAATTGACTCTGGTATATCATTTGGTGACTTCAGTTCTTTCTGTATACAAGCAGTTCCATTGATTTAAGGTAGTGCAAAGGAGTATTTGGAAATTTAGTGGAACTGATGCGTTTCTTTGTGTCATACTGAAAGAATGATGAGTTCTTGAAGGAGCAAATAATGCAAAGGACTGAAGTTGTCATGATGTTTAATTTGAAAGAAGAGACCTAGTTACAATATGGCTTTTTTATATACCTGGTCCATCACTGAACAGCACATATGTACAGAAGAAATTAATATTTTTTTAATATTTGGCCCATGTTCTTGCATCTGCAGTACAAGAAAGAAATTTTAAGTGATAAGCTGCACTACAGTGATTACTAGTGTCATTCCTCTAGCTGTGTGAACAACTAATCTTCTTAAGTGGGTGCTGGTATGGATGGAGACCAGGACTGGGGATTTCAGGGTTGTAATTTCCAGCTTCTTCGATCAGTGGGGTGTACTGCATGATTTTTATATTCTACTTAGAAAATATGAAAAGGCACATCCTCAGAAAGTCATGTTCTTAATGAAAAGTATAATTTACTTGGCTGGAAGTTTGTCTGTTCTTTTATCTGCTTTGTGGTGAAAGGGAGTGAGTACTTGGCCTTGATAAGCTCTTGTGCCAAGTGTTCTTTTGGAAACAAAAACGTATTATGGCCTGTAGTTATTTTCAGCTGAGCCTTGTTTGGGAAGCAAATAGAACTTCAGATTAAATAATTGCTCTCCATAGATTGAAGACATGTGGGTTTCTTCTCCACTATATGCTGCCTACTTGCTCAGTGCTTCAGTCTTACACTAAAATCTTAAGAGCCAGGATGCTCTTGGGTTAATCAATGAAAATGGTTTTCATTGATTGCTGTGGAAAGAAAATAACTAACTGGTTTAATTAACCCACTGTCGTGTATATCTAGAAGAGTGCTTATTGATTTGCATGTGTTTAATTAAAACAAAAAACTTGCAGTGTTTGCAGCCCTTGTCTCCTCACTCTCTGCTCTGGGTAGGACTTCCCCAAGTGCCGGTGTGCCCTGCACAGCAGCTCCTCTTGCTTCCCTCGAGCTGCAGCACCTGGGACTGGCACAAGGGCACAGGGAGCAGACACAGAGCTCCAGCTGGGCCTCAGAACCACGGCAGCTGCAAGGGACACTTGAATTTTCTGCCCTTTGTTCTCCTGTTTGAGCAGCAAGCTTGGCTGGAATCAGATGACTAAAGCTGTAGGAAGCCACTATTTGTGCCATGTACTACGTTGTTTAGGACTGGCAGAAGGTGACTTACCTTGTGCTGCTTCTGAAAAAGGTGCCAGACCTCCTCCCCTGTGGTAACAACTCCTAGGGTGTTCAAATGATAAATGCTGATGTGAGCAGAATCTTCATATGAAATTAATTCTAACAACATCCCAGCAGGAGAACAATTCTCTGTTGAGTCCAGAATGTGCAGGACTCACAGCAGATATGGCCTGAGGCCGTGTGTGACAGGGTACAGTTACCTGCTCAGTGAGCTTAGGGCAGCAGCCCTTCAGGGAACACAGGCAATAAAGAGATTAAATTTGGCCCTCTTGTTACATGCAAGTGACTTTAAAGATTCATGGACAGTTTTATTCCAGCAGTCCCAATGTTCTGAGCGCTTGCTCTTATGCCAGTGTTGTCACTTTAATATATTTTAAAAATATGATGGTGAATGTGAACTTTCAGTGTTGAGTTGCAAAAA